ATCATTAAATCTCCCCCACGACTGAGCTGCCGCGGCAAGTAAATGTAGGTAGGAGGAGTTAGTTTGGGAGGAAAACCTAGATAGCTAGGGTTTGATCCCGTGAGATGAGGAGAAACGAAACCGGGAGAGGACAGCAAAGAGAAAGACTTGCCTGAATTGAATCGGCGGGAGGGAATAAGAAGTCGGTGGCCGTAGCCGGTGCCGGGCTCCGGTCGCAGGCGCCGCTTCTTTCTCTCCGCTGGGAGAGGTGTACCTTTTTTTTTGCCCAAACTAGCACATATGCTCATGCGTTGTGACGGGGGAAGCAAATCCTCGCATGCTCCAAGCGACCCACCCCTGTTACCAATCTCTTCGCCTCCTTGGTCATATTGTCCACCTATTTCACGGCACGTGATAAATCTCAATGCGATGAGCTTGGTATCACACCGTCGCACGCTGCTTTCGCAAGCCCTTTCTCCTTTAAAAAACATTTAAACTGATAATTATCTACCTATTAAAATGTTATAATGAACAAGCCAAAATATGTGGCCTATGCTAGCTAAATTTTGGTTATATTAAGAAATATCTTTAAGATAGCAAAACTTTGATTAGTTGTTAACAGTGAGATAGAAAGGCTGGGACCGAAACACATATTATTCAGTACATCAATATATTCAGAGTGGTGATGGAAAGAAGAAGAAAAAAATATAGAAGTATTCTTTAGAAAGAACTGAGTACATGGTTAACACAAAAACTCAATTTCTAGCCATGAAATTAAAAATACGAATATGAGTCAGGGGCATCATACTGACTACAGTACGATATTATCACATATACAGTGAGAGCTTAAACATTCATAGCAGAGTCTGCCTCTGATTATTTAACTTTCTGTTAGCTATTTGATCCTAATGTAACACATGGCCGGAAGTTGAATAATCACGCAAACACCAAACCTGGCGTTGCAAGCTGATAAGCGAAAGCAGAATCAAGATACTCACATGGATGTCCAAAAGTGAAACAAAACTGAAACACCAATCCAGCTATTGTCAGGGGTGTTTGTAACCATACTGAAACAAAACTGATATTCAGCCGCAATCGCAGAAAAAATGGAGTGATTTTCTGACCGCGCACACTGTGCATAATCAGTGAGTTGGAGCTCATAAGCAGTTCCTACATCCATCCCACGCATTATTCACAACCCATTATCCCATTTTAGAGCCGCTACTTCCTTAATTTGGACCGCTTGCCTTTCTTACTTTCCTGTCACAGGAACTCAAATTCCTTTCTTTCCTTATTTCTCTCACTCGGCATCTTATTTCTTTCCTTTCTTTCTATGCATGTCGTCCTCTTATTTCCTTCCTCACTAACTTATTTCCTTCCTTCATTTATTTATTCCCGAGATAGCTCCTTGATAAATTGAAACTCAAAGAACATGAAGAAAATGAAGAAATAGAAGAAAGATGGCACTTATTCCTAGAAGAAAATGAAAGCAAGAGTTTCCCTTTGATTAGTTCAGAGGTTGAGATCTGCAGAACCAGGTGAGCATGGACTGGGAAATCGATGTGACACTTGCTATCAGTCAAGTCAACCATCCAACTGTAATTAGGCTGTCCTGTCCACCATGTGAAAAACTGAAAATAGTTGATTTCTTGCGCAAATGCGGCGATGATCGCTCTGGTTTCACTGAGAATTGTGTTCTTATGAAGAAATAACTAATCCTCAGCTACCAGCAGAGAAGCAGAAAACTGTTGAACAGCCTGACACCAGCATATAGTACTGACTACAGTGGAGAAAGCATTTCAAATTCAGCCAAGAGCATCAGTGTGCAGTTCCTGTAGAGTTGAGAAACAGAAAATGAAGAGAAAAAAGTTTCCCTTTATAAGTTCAGAAGAACTTCAGATCTGCCGGACCAAGCCATCAGCGGTTTGGGGGTTTCAGAATCTGAATAAATTGTCAGAACACTCTCACTTGCAGTTAAGCATATCCATTTTATAAACATATCTGGTTCTCCAGACAGTGGATTACTCGTGCAAATGGGACAAGGAACACTCTGTTCTCTGAAAAGACAGAACATTCAATGAATTGTATTCTTAAGATGTTCCTCTGGCATCTTCTTCAGCTAACAGCAGAGAAGGAGAAATATATTACTGATTACAATGGAGAAAGCATTCCAAAATCAGCCATGTCTGGACAGTGGACCCTACAACTCACAACAGCTACTAAGGAAATGCAGCTCCCTGTGCTGCCCTGGCGATGCCCTTGTCGCCGATCATCCAAAAGCATCCTGATATTCTCCTCCTTCACATGGCATTCCTGGTCCAGGGAAGCACGTGAAGGATCAGGATCGAAGTAATTCAGCATCAGAATATTTTATTATGTTTCAAATGGACTAGCAAGCCAAGTAACTAGTACAATGATAGTCACTAACATGTTATGTACACTCGGAAACTAAAGTTAGCCTAGACTAGCCACTTTTTGTAGAAAGGGAAAATTTTCATGGTGAGACATGTCTGACTCACACATCATGCATAAGCTTAAAGCATACCCAGTTGTGTAAACTTACCAATCCACTTGTCTTTAAGAAAAGAATATACGATCCAATAAGCAACATTCCAAAAGATCAGGTATTAACAATTTCAGATGTAAGTCATACTAGTTATACCAAACAGATATACCAAACAATGCAATAAACGATGCACACTGACCATGTTACTTCAACTAGAGCAGTGTACAGATCAACTAAAAGGCAAAAGGCAAACCTTGCAGGACCATCCTTGAGCGCGGGGAATGTGGGAGGCCAAACCATCATAAAAGGGTAGACATCAGTGAAATGTCGATCCTTTTGTGCCATCGCATGCACTTTACGGAGTGTCCTGTTCTTGACATCCAGATAGAGCACACATCCACACATTTTTTAAGAACAGAAACTCAGCATTATCCCCTGTCTGACATATATAGCAACGGCCAGTATGCTCATCCTCAGGCGTGTTATCTAGCATCCTCAGATTAGCACACATCTCGTGCAAACAAATGGTATCGACCAGCAACCAGTTGTCCCCCTTATGAAGCCAGATGTGAAGTTTAAAGCCATTGACATGGATGAGATATATACCGGAAGGATCATCTGCCCGTGACAAGATGGTGTTGAAACTGTGATACTTCACTCCAGGTGGGAGCTGGATCTATACAAACTTGAGTCCGTCAAATCCAAGACAATAATGTCATCGGCGGGGGAGGCCACCATATAGATTTTATTGTCGACGAGCACAACTATTGCTCTGGGTAGTGGAAGATGGAGCTGGTATGTGGCCAAGGTATGCAAGCACCAAACACTGCCTTGCAACATATACACACGCATAGTGAATTTTTCTGTCTCATCACAAACCTCCGTCAACACATAAAAGTAGGACAAGCCATTGCCTTCTTCTTTCGAGAGAATAGCACCAAAATTTAGGCGATTGCGATCCTGGGCACTTGGGAGTGGTGGGATGTCGTCAATGCCTCTCTCAGGACAAAGCGGGTGGTACACTCCATATGATAGTTCTCTTCTTTCACGATGTCTGGTGAAGATGCTGCCGTTTCGGGAGTCCATGATCCATGGCACCTCGCGGGTACCGAAGTTGTGGCTCGCCATGCGGCGGACAACAGCGGCAAACTCTGGGGGCTGGGGAAGCATCGGGACGAAGCGCAGGACGGCCATCGACTTCGGCCAGACCAACCCGGTGTCGATGTAAAAGCCAAGTAGGCGGGGCGGGTGGAGCTCACGGAACCGGCAGAGGAAACCCCGGTCCGAGGCGAGCTGGTACCAGCCCCTGCGCACGAGGGTGGCACGGACGAGTGTGGTGGGGAAGCCGACGCGCAGGAGGATCTCCCCGAGGAGATTGTCGTCCCCAAGCACCTTGGAGACAGGGTCCACGGCCGCCGTTGTTGTCCGGGGACACTGGCGTGTCTCGCCATCGGCATCAGCGCATAGTTTCTTCTCGGGACGGACCCTGGAAAATCGGCAGCGCCGAACAAATGCAAAACCAGCGTTAATGCAATAAACCTGATTTCTTCAGCCAATGCCGTTGCAGGACATATATTACAATCAAACTGTAATAATAATGAAATGTGGGGTGGAGGAACTGGGCGGGTCTTACCGTCGGGAAACCTCCACAGCCGTATCCATCATCCAATCTCCCCTCTCAGCTGAGCTGCCGCGACAAGTAAATGTAGGCAGGAGTTAGTTTGGGAGGAAAACCTAAACCTAGATAGCTAGGGTTTGATCCCGCGGGAAGAGGAGAACGAGAAACGGAACCGGGAGCGGGCAGGAAGCAGAAAGACTCGCCTGAATCGAATCGGGAGGAAGGAAAAGAAGCGTCGGTGGCCGCCGCCGGGGACGGGCTCAGGTCGCCGCCGCAGCTTCTTCTCTCCGCAGGGGCGTTGCGGTCGAGGAGGGATGAGCGAGTGAGGTCAAAGTGAGACGATGCTGCAGCCTCTTCATCGTTGCAGGCCATAAAGCCCAGTACACATGTCTTTTTTTATATGCCAGCCCTGTGTCTAGCAAAAAAAAAAAAACCCGATAAATCCCAAAAGTTTGGATTTTAAGCATTTTATCACGAACGTTTTTTCATGATAACTTTAGTTGATGTGAGATGGCCACTTTAGTTGTGGAGACATGACAATTTTGTCTTAGTTATTTTTTATCAGAAAATTTCCATGTTTGCCAACCTCGCGTGAACTAAATTTGTCATGAAAAATGTTCGGGTTGGCATGCTTAAAATCCGAACGTTCAGGATTTATCATTTTTGGAAAAAAAAAAAGCGGGACTGTCTACAATCGACTGATTTCGATTTTGGCATCAGTCAAATTTTGGACCAATAACGTCTTCCTCGGTACCCCTTCAGCCTTTTCCGATACCTATTGGGTTTTAGTTTTATTTTCCTCCGGACCAAATAGGTCCACTGCTTTTCCTGGGCATTGTGAATTTTGAATGAGGCTGCAAGGCAACTCAGGTAGTTTTTTTAAATGAAAAAAACTCTCCTTTTTTTTGTCTGTTTAACCTTACTCTGCTTGGCAACCTCTCTGACTGAATGCATACTAAATGTTTCAAAAATCACAGACTGAATGGAAAATCTTGTATGCTAAGGCTAGTTCACACACATAGGTGACCAGATATCTTAACATGATTGAGAACTACAAGAAAAAAAACTCACGGGATAGACATAGTCTGCAATATTACCAACAGTTTGCAGAAAAGAAAACATGTTCATGAGCATCCTTGAACTACATAGACATACATCCTTGCCTAAAAAAACATAGACATACATCCATGATCGCCATCAACCATAGATTATCCCAGATACAAACACCAACTAGAGAAGGTCATTAAAGACAGTATAGCCGAGCCTAACGCAGCCCTCTCACGCATCCACACTCCTTGCCGTTGGATTTCTTGGATTGATCGTTGATGGCCGTCCGATACACTTCCTCTTGTGTGTGGGCTGCTCCTGGGCCGACTGTCCTTTTGGCAGCTACTCCCGAAACCAAATCTAGGCCCTCTCGTTTGCCTATACTAGGAACGTCCGATCTCGGGTGGACGGTCAAGTAACGTTTCCTCCCATTCCACCCGATCTCTCATGGCTAATCCCACCCCCGATCTCTCCTCTCTCACCCACGACACATGTTGCGCCGCCGCCGTTGTATCGTTCGGCACGCACCTCCTCATGGCGCAGTCCTCGGCTGCCTCGTCGGAACGCCGCCTCCATCTCCGTCTAGCCGTCGATAACCTCCTTCTTGTATCTTACGTCGGAAAGGTGCAACAGGGATCATCTCTTTCTCGGGCGGGCACGAGCTCCATCCCCAGATCGGTGGCACACTACACCTAGAAGCATGTATCCGATTTTTCTGGATTTTTTTTGAAAGATCCAGCTCGGCTGGCATCATTAGATTTAGAAGGAGAGAACACAAAGTTTTTGATCCAAAAACGATCAGATCAAAAGGAACAGAGAAAAAAGGTTTGGGCAAGGGGGCTGGCATGGAAATCCCCCCGCCCTCCCCAATGAACTAAACAGCTAAGGTTTTTATCTCGCGCATATATCCCCAAACGGGGTCTCGATGGCCTTGGCTCCCGCGAGGCACCATTGTTCCATGCTCTCCCGAATCGCCCTGATGATCATGAGTGGCTCTGCTTCTATGGCTCTGAAGACAGAATTGTTTCTGGCGTTCCAAATCACCCAGGTAGTTGCCATGATCATGGTTCGTATGCCTTTCTTCTCCTCCTTTCTTGTGCGAGATATGATCCGCTTGACTGCCAAGGTTGTGGTTGTCTGTTCCCCGTGATGAGAAGCCAGGGCAACACATCCTTGTTGTAAGTGCATCTAGTGCCCCTTCGTGATTTTGGTGTATTGAAGACTTATAGGTTAAGAGACTGATGCGTTTGTGAGTGTACACAGGTCTATAAGTCTATAAGGAGTTTGATATTTACAGAGAAAGTCGACCCCTAAAAATGAAGTTCTTCAACTGAAGACTTTGGATATCTGAAGACTTTTTGAAGATTTTGAAAGTGAAGAAATTGGTGTGACCTTGAAGACTTGGCAATCATTCGAGGAACATGAAGCGTGAAGACTCTGTATTTCATAGTTTCATTTTCTCTTTCTTGAGTCATAGGAAACACCGTACTATTAAAGGGGGTCGAGGAAATACTAAGGAAAAATTTCCATGTGATGCTCAACTCAAAATCCTACACCTACCAATCCCTTCGAGTGAAGCCATTGGAAATCTCACATAGTTCAGTCATATTATTTAGTGACAGAGAAGAAGTTCTTCTGGTCCCTGAGGAATTTGTTCTGACTAAGGAGTTAGGAATTCGCCAGTGTGGATTGCCTACATAGTGAGGAACATGATAGCCCTGAGGAATTTGAGAGTCAAATATTCCGACCGTTGCTGTGCTATGCGCCAGCTGTCCCAAAATATCTACCCCGGTCATATCATGTTGGTGTACAAAAGTAGGGGCTCTGCTTTTGACCCCTTTACTTGTGCACGGGCAGTCGGAGCCTCCCACCACGGTCACGCATAGACACGGCAGGAAAGGGAAGCCGGAGAGAAGCCTAAGCCACAAGGACAAGTGAAGCAACAACAAGGACCAAAACAACAAAGGTCGCACGGACGATGCAGGTTGCCCCGGCAAGGACCCTTGCCTAGGGCAGCCTCAGCAGCCCCGGCAAGATCCTTGTCGGGGCAGCTTGTCCACCCCAGCTGAGCGAGCCACCTTCGAGCCCACGAACGCTAAGCAGACGCGTTGGGACGGGGTTCAGGAGGCACCTCCGTGGTGGCATGCAGATCTTTGTGAAGACAAAGTACAATCAAGACCAAAAGAGGATAGGAAGGCAACCATCCTCACCGAAGAAACCCACAGGGGCCCCGGCAAGATCCTTGCCGGGGAAGCCAGCGCGCCACAGCAAGACCCTTGCCGGGCCACCAGGCAAGACCCTTGCCGGGTCACCCGACAAGACCCTCGCCAGGCACGCCAACAGGGCCACTGCCAGGCCCGCGCCAGCAAGTCTCCACCGCCACCATTCGCATGCAGCTGCCGACCCAACCAGCTGGGCAGGCACCTGCGCGGCAACATGCAGCCCTTCGTGGGGGCTCTACCACCGCGCCACCTCAGCTGCATGCATGCCTACATGGCGCTGCATGCATTGCTGGCCGGGGCGTGTGTCGAAGCCAGGAAGGGCGGCGACAGACGGGACGAGCCTCACCCCCTTCCCCGATAAAGTGAGGGACACCTAAGCCTCACATTAAATGCGTCTTGTCCTGTAATCCTAGCGATAACCTCACAATGCTGTAGCACTTTCCACCTCCTGTGTGCCACTGTGGCAACCCCTTTCGCCTATAAAAGGATGCCCATGGCATACTGAGAAGGGATTCGGCTCTTTTGAACCCCACATCACCCAGAGCTAGTTCAAGAGCTCAAGAACACCAATACAACCACCAAAGCAGGATCGTAGGGTTTTACGCATCTTTGCGGCCCAAAGCTGGGTAAATCCCTCTGTTTCGCCTGCTAGTCCTGCTCTTCTCACGATCCCCGCGCCCCACAACCGTAGAAGGGATTCCAGTGATACCATAGGTGTCATTTCCCACCGACATCTTTGGCGCGCCAGGCAGGGGAGCGCAAATTGTGAGAATCTGGCCTAGCGGTAGGCCTAGCAGTTCATCATCGCCATGGCTCCTGCGGAGAAAGCGGCCAAGAGGGCGGTGCTACCCATTGGCGCGAAGGACGCCGAGGCAGCGACGAAAGAGCTAAATCATGCTAAACTTTAAGCTTTTATCCTTAAATATAAGGTTGTTATCCTCGACGATTCTGCCTATGTATGGAAAACCTGTACGCGAAGGGGCCCTCCTGCGATTGGCAACGCCCTTGTTCTGTTTCGAGTCCGCTCAACAGTTCGAGCGGCCGCGTCGAGAGCGGCAGGGTAGCCTTTCGCCACCAGCTACGCTCTCGTTTCTGACTCGAGTCAACCTCGACAGATCGAGCGGCCGCGCTGGCGGTGGTAAGGTGCTTCGCCGGCAGCAAGCACACCCGACAGGCTAATGAGGATCCGTCCTCAAGGCGCCGCCCTGGGTTTACGCGCCGGCAAGCTTACCCAGTCGACGTGGGGCATACATACAAAGGAAATCTAACGGGAAAATAACATGCATAGTTTCAGGAGTACTGTAGAGTTATATTACATAAATTGTCGCCGCGGTTCTAACTAAGGATAGCATTGTCTTGGTCATGAACCTGTAGCGGCGATAAGAAACGGGGTGCTCAGTCTCGGCGCTGGCCCCCCAACCTATTGATTTTGTCGATGCGGCTGAGGATGGGCTGGATAGGCTCATTGAGCGCTGCGATGTCAGCATCCTCCAGCAAGCTCTTCAGCACCGCTTCGAAGTCGAGGTCAGGATGCCAATGCGCTATCCTGACGAGCACCCTGGTGATGGTTCCCTGGCAAAGAATCTTGGACTCTTCTGCCAGGGAGGCCGCCCGATTGGAGTGGAGCCGCTTCAGGGCGCCAACGACCCTCTAAAAGTATATGGTCAGGCTGGCGTTGGAGCTCAGGTTCACCTCCGGGGCGTACTCCATGCCCGGCATCCCCGTGATGGCCAGCTGGTCGGCGGCCGAGTTTGTGACGGCGGCAAGGCGCCCGAGCC